TTAATATTATTTTGATGACTAATTAAAAAATAAATGCCCATATGAATGGAAAAATAAGAGTGTGATTAATTTCCTAAAATTTTAGAATAGGTGATGACATAATTGGCGATTATAGATAGAATTAAGTTGATGTGGTCGCAATGACTTATAAAATTTGGGGAGTTATGGAGCATAGGTTACGACATGATACTTATGTTTCTCAAAATCAATTTGGATTCATGTCGAGTAGGTCTACTACGGAAGCTATTCATTTATTGAGAGATTCTATGGAGAAGTTTAGAGAGACTAAGGATGATCTACATATGATATTTATTAATTTAGAGAAAGCATATGATAAGGTTCCAAGAGAAGTGTTATGGAGAGTTCTAGAAAACAAAGGGGTTAATAATGCTTATATTCAAGTCATTAGAGATATATATGCAGGAGTTGTTACTTGTGTTCAAACACAAGGTGGTTTGACCAAGTAATTTCCTATTTCAGTTGGATTACATCAGCCTTAAGCCCTAATCATTTTGCTTTAATCATGGATGTTCTCACTAGACATTTGCAAGAGAATGTACCTTGGTTTATGCTTTTGCTAATGATATTCTTCTTGTTGATAAGACTAGAGAGCGAGTTGACTAGAGAGCGAGTTGAAGGTAAACACAAATTATGGAGGTCAACCTTAGAGTCTACAGGTTTTCGTTTGAGTTGGTCTAAAACCGAATAGATGGAGCGTAATTTTAGTAGTAATAGATCTGAAGGGGGTTTGTGACTTTGAGCGATCAAGTTATTAATAAGTGCACTCGTTTTAGATATCCGGGGTATAATATTCAGAATGATGGTGAAATAGATGGGGATATTATTAGTAGAATTCAAGTTGGATGGTTGAAGTGGAGGAATGCTTCGGGTTTGTTGTGTGATAGAAAAGTACCACTCAAACTTAAGGAAAATTTTTATAAGATGGTGGTGAGCCCTGCAATGCTTTATGGCGCAGAATGTTGGCCATTAAAAGAGAAGCATAATATAAGTTAAGTGTTATTAAGATGAGGATGCTCAGGTGGATGAGTGGATTTATTCTTAAAGACATGATACAAAACAAGTATATTCGTGAAAAGGTTGGAGTAGTTCCAGTGACGGATAAGATTAGAGAAAGTTGCCTTAGATGGTTTGATCATGTAAAATTTCGGCCTTCTGATGACCCAATTAGGAGAGTAGATGCATTAGATTTGACCTATGTTAAGAAAGGTAGAGGTAGACCTAAAAAAACTTGGTTAGAAAATATTAAAAAATGACATTTCTTTATTAGATGTAAATGAGAATTTGACTCTTAATAGGACATAATGAAGAAAAAGGATTCATGCAGTCGGCCCCACGTAGTGGGATAAAGTCTTGATGTTGTAGTCTATGATGCACCGACACGGACACGGCAACACGGACACGACACGACACGAACAGACACGACACGGACACGGGATACGGCATTTTTTAAAAAATATAGTACACGGGTGCGGCGTGGACACGGCATAATAATTTTTTAATATAATATATAGAAATTAATTGACATTATATTAGAAAGACAGCAATAAAAACAAATTTCATGATAACTTGTTTAGCTTATAACATAAAAGATGTTTAGTACAAAATGTCTATCCTTCAAC